ACCATCACATCAAAAAGAATAAAATAGCTAGGAATAAAACTACATAAGGAGACAAAAGACCTGTACTCTGAAAACTATAAGATGCTGATGAAAGAAATTCAAGATGACACAAACAGATGGAAAGATATACCATGTTCTTGGATTGAAAGAATCAATATTGTCACAATGACTATACTACCCAGGGCACTCTGCAGATTCAATGCAATCCCTATCAAATTACCAATGGCATTTTTCACAGAACTAGAACAAAAACTCTTAACATTTTTATGGAAACACAAAAGACCCTGAATAGCCAAAGCAATCCTGAGAAAGAAAAATGGAGCTGGAGCAATTAGGCGCCCTAACTTCAGACTATACTGCAAAGGTATAGTCATCAAAACATTATGGTACTAGCACAGAAATAGAAATATAGTTCAATGGAACAGGATAGAAAGCCCAAAAATAAACACACGCAGCTATGTCAATTAATCTATGACAAAGGAGGCAAGACTATACGATGGGGGAAATACAGTCTCTTCAATAAATGGTGCTGGGAAAACTGGACAGCTCCATGTAAAAAAAAAAAAAAAGAAATTAGAACACTCTTTAACACCATACACAAAAATAAACTCAAAATGGATTAAAGACCTAAATTGAAGACCAGGGACTATAAAACTCTTAAAGGAAAACATAGGCAGAACACTCTTTGACATAAACCAGCAACATCTTTTTTGATCCATTTCCTAGAGTTATCGAAATAAAAACAAAAATAAACAAATGGAACCTAATTAAACTCAAAAGCTTTTGCACAGCAAAGGAAACCATAAACAAAATGAAGACAACCCACAGAATGGGAGAAAATATTAGCAAATGATGAGACCGACAAGGGATTGGTCTCCAAAATTTACAAACAGCTCATGCAGCTCAATATCAAAAAGACAAACAACCCAATCAAAAAATGAGTAGAAGACCTAAATAGATATTTCTCCAAAGAAGACATACAGATGGCCAACAGGCACATGAAAGGATGCTCAACATTGCCACTTATTAGAGAAATGCAAATCAAAACTACAATGAGATATCACCTCACCCCAGTCAGAATGGCCATCATCAAAAAGTCTACAAACAATAAATGCTGGAGGGGGTGTGGAGAAAAGGGAACCCTCCTACATTATTGGTAGGAATGTAAATTGGTACAGCTACTAAGGAGAATAGTATGGAGGTTCCTTAAAAAACCTAAAAATAGAGCTACCATATGATCCAGGAATTCCACTCCTGGGCATATATCTGGAGAAAACCACGGTTTGAAAGGATTCATGCACTTCAATGTTCACTGCAGCACTGTTTACAATAGCCAAGAAATGGAGGCAACCAAAATGTCCATTGACAGAAGAATGGATAAAGAAGATATGGTACATATAAACAATGGAATATTACTCAGCCATTAACAAGAATGAAATAATGCCATTTGCAGCAACATGGATGGACCTGGAGATAATCGTACTAAGTGAAGTCAGACAGGGAAAGACAAATATCGTATGATATCACTTGTATAAAAAATCTTTTAAAAATGATACAAATGAACTTATTTACAAAACAGAAACAGACTCACAGACTTGGAGAGCAAATGGTCACCAGAGGGGAAGGGTGGGGGGTGGAGAGGGATAATTAGGGAGTTTGGGATTGACATGTATACACTGCTATATATAAAATAGATATCCAAAAAGGACCTACTGTACAGCACAGGGAACTCTGCTCAATATTATGTAACAATGTAAATGGGAAAATAATTTGAAAAAGAGCAGATACATGTATATGTATATAACTGAATCACTTTGCTGTACACTTGAGACTAACACAGCATTGTTAATCAACTATACTCCAATATAAATTAAAAGTTTAAAAAAATCAGTTTAAGCAGAAAAGGCAATTTATTGAGCCCCAACTAGCTTTAGGCACAGCCAAATTGTGAGATTTCAGTCATGTCATCAAAACTTTTTCTCCATGCTCCATCCCACCCCCAATCTCTGACCTCTGTCCTGTGAGCTCTTCTCTTCAAGGCAGGCTCTCTCTGGGAAGGCAAAACATCCTCTCCAGATTCTATTCCCAGTGGCAAAAGTACTCGAAGAGTCGGAATACTCCTGGCAAAAACACAGGACCTGTATGAAGAAAACCATAAGAGACCTAAATAAGTGGAACAGGAGTTATGTTCCTAGACGGGAAGACACAATATTGTAAAGTTACTACTTATTTCCAAATTGATTTATAATCCAATCCCATTCTATTCAAAATCCTAAAGCAATGTCTTAATGGATTCTTTATAAACTGGTTTTCAGAATTCAACTTAAACAATTCACAGCAATGGCCAAGGATTTTTTTTTTTTTTTGAGAAAGAAGAATGGTGGGGTAAATTAGACTATAACACCAGATGTTTAAACATGTCATAAACATATAGTAATTGAGACAGAGTGCTATTAGTAGAGGAAAAGATAAGTCAACAAACTAGAGAAAACATTCAAATTAGCTGGGAAAAAACAGACCATCTATAAACAGTGCTGAAATACCCACTCCAACTCTTCTAAGAAGTGAGTCCTTCTTCACACTGTTACCCAATGCAAGTTCATATGCCCCACATACAGTGAAGACAAACAAACTGAAACATCAGAGTTTGGAGCAGAGAGAGGTTTATTGCAGGGCCACACAGTTTCAGTTGCTAGAGTCAGTACACTGACTGAAACCAACAAAGGCTGAATAACCAGTTCCTCCAAAACGTTGGAAATACCATCTGTTTGGACATTAATGCCTATAGTTCTTCTCCTTGGCATGCCGGTTTTCTTAGTTCTGTGACTGTAGACATGGGATTCAATCCAGCAGTTTCAGCTAGTGTAGATGGAATGAGCTCCGTAACATCTGCAAAGGCATGAATGCAGTAGGATTTCATACCACTCAATGTTCGTGAATATCCGGTTAACCACAGGGCCCACTCTATCTCTGGAGCACTACCTCCTGCAATAAGAGCTCTCTGCTTTACTAAACAATGAATAACACATAGGGCGTCATGAACTGAGGGCCCGGCTTGGCTTCTTCAATCACCAATGTGTTAGAACCAGGAACAACAGCTATAACTTTTTCCTGGGATAATATAGCCTGTAATCTTGAGCAGTGTGCCAGAACCATGTAAACTGACCCCCTCAGCTCATTCAGTCAAACCCAGCATGTCAGCAGTTAAGTTGGTCAGCATGAGCAATTGGCTTGGTTCCAATATTTTCTCTTTCAATGTCCTTAACTACCACAATATTCATTTTGATCAGGAAATTTAATACAATATCACTAAGAGCATGTCTTAAGAATAGACTTCTGTATGCAAAAGACATATCCGTTTTTAAAATTTGCTTCGTTAAATTTAGAATATAGTCCGTCTTTCCTCAGGGCTCCATCCATGTGGGCATATCAGCAACTGTTTGATTATCATGATCTGTTTTTAAGCCCAATCTTAATCTTTTCAACTCTGGATATGTCAGAATTGTCCACCTTATGGGTGAGAACCAGCCCTTCCACCAATACAAAATCATCAATTGTCCCACCAAGTTTCCTTTAAAAAAAAAAAAAAGACAGTTTATTTAAACTAAAAACAAGCAAAAAAACAAGAACAGTTTACCCACCCATTTCTCTCACCTCTCTACCCCCACCTCTAGAAACCACCAACCTGTTCTATCTATGAGCTTGTTTTTTGTTTTAGATTCCACCTGTAAGAGAGATCGCACAGTATTTGTCTTTCTGTCTGATTTATTTCACTTAGCATTATACCCTGGAGGGCATTAGCAGGTTTCTTAACTATTCTGACATCTCTGAGATCTACAACAGTAGCTGTGGCTGGATGAATCACTTTCCTCCCTGCATTTACACTCGCATAAGAGAAAGACTTGAATACTGAGAGACAACTGCTGAGCTCAGTGAAGTGGCTGCACTGTTTAACAACACTTCTCTGTCACTCGCTTCCACAGGTCACGGCATGTCAAGATTTCAATACCCTTTCCAAATCCTTCTAAAGTGATCTGGAAATGATGAATCCATTTCTGAAAAAACCTGGTACAGGAATCAGAGAGAGCCAGCAACAATGACCACTGATGTGGTGCCATTTCCTTCTTTCTCTTGAGCCTTAGCTCTACCAGCATTCTGGCTGTGGGATATAACACTTGTGTTTGTTTCAGAATGGTAGCACCATTTGTAATGGTCACATCACCTCTTCCACCTTGAATCATTTTATCCATTCCTTTTGGTCCAAGTCTTGATCTAATGCATCGGCAACAGCTTTGGCCATGAAGATGTTGCTGAAGCAGATCTGGGCTGGCTTCTTGTCCTCATGGGTGCTTTTCCCCTGGCTGCTAGCAAGCTTGCTTGGGTCTGTGTGGGCTCCGAAAGGACAGATGGACACAGCTTCCAGCGGGCACTAGAATAACTGTGTTCACTGTTAACCACTGAAGGGGATCAGAACATGTTACCCCCAAATATGCCACTTTGGCATACTGATTATTTTAGCTGAAGGCAACCGAGAAATAGCATATATAGGAAGGGCTCTCTGACCCCTTGCTGCCTAAAAGCAGGGCATAAATTTCCTGTGAGAAAGGTTCCTTCTTGTACCAGGAAGGGGAGAACACTCTTATCACTGGCGATGGGAGTTAATACCAAGATGAATCTACATTAATTTTACTAAAATAATCCTCATCTTCCATTAGCTTCCCCCATATACTTCCTAGTCACTGTCCCACAATATACCACCCCTGGAAGCCCAAACCCCTTTTCTTTGTTTAGTCATATCTCCACAATTTATCATCCTTTGTTAAAATGGTATATAAACCCCAAGTCGTACTGCTTCTTTGAGTTTTCACTTCTTTTCTATGAAGTCCCCTGTAAAAAAACATTAACATCAAATAAGGTTTGTATGTTTCTCTCCTGTTAAGCTATCTTTTGTCTTTGAAATTCATAGGGCTCAGGTACAGGGTAAAGTGTTCTTTCTCCATCTACTTCAGGCGATGGGTTGACTACAGAATGGAAGGCGAAAGAGAAGGACTTGTTATGTGCCCGTGTATTGATTAAATGTTTAAAATAATTGTATGTGTTGTATTTAAAGAGACAATAAAAAGGAAATTGTCATCAATCAAGTTACTCCTAAGAAGAAAGGCTTATTGAATCCCAAGCAAAACCAACTGTCTTTTTTAAAGATGCATAAATTAAAACTTTAAAGATTTAGTAATTTATTGAAGTCAGAAAAATAAAATTTCAATATATTAACTCTAAAAACCTAGAAGTCCCAGAAATTACATTTTAAAGGATTTAGAAAGAATTCCTTATAAAAGGATTTACTATTACATTCTTTGTTAAACTAAACTGTGACTCGGAGGACTTGTAGTATCATTTTACACCCCTCACACAGTGCCTTGATAAATTAGTCAGCAGTAGTAGCACATGAAATCATGGATAAATGAGAGATACATATCCACTCTTATCCAAAGGTAGCAAATAGCCCCGTATTTCCTATTTAATGGAAAGCAGTTTCTTCTGTAATTCTTTGGAGCAATAAGCCTTTAGACCCCTGTGACTCCCATTTAAAGAAGAGCCATTTGTGCCTTTGTCCTAATATCTCTGAGTACTTGTCAAGAGTTAAAATGCTGGCTGAATCACTGTAGGACTCCTTATATGCATGCAGGTAAAAATGTCTCAGGAGGTGGTTTACTCTGGTTTGTTCTTTCACATCTCAAATTTGCTTGGCTGGTCACAGTTAGGCAGGTAGAAATGAGTTAAGAACTTTAGAACTCATGATAATTTTGACCAGAAGTCAAAATTAAGATTAATTAAGTCAAATTAAGTCAGAAGTCAAAATTAAGATCATTGCTGTACAGTATGAGAGAAAAACCCAGACCAGCTGTCTTTCCCAAGATGGCTGCAATGAGCGTTGGAAGAAGAGACAAAATCCATCCTATAAGGGGAGGGAGAAGAGAATTAGATTGCTTTATAACACTCAAAACCGGTACTAAATAAAATACACCGGAGGTTCTAGATTAAACACTAAGACAACTCCTGAATTTAAAATGTAAAAAAAGGAAATCCTGGGGCTTCCCTGGTGTCGCAGTGGTCAAGAGTCCGCCTGCCGATGCAGGGGACACGGGTTCATGCCCTGGTCCAGGAAGATCCCACATGCCACAGAGCGGCCGGGCCCGTGAGCCATGGCGGCTGAGCCGGCACGTCCGGAGCCAGTGCTCCGCAACGGGAGAGGCCACGACAGTGAGAGGCCCGCGTACCGCAAAAAAAAAAAAAAAAAAAAAAAAGGAAATCCTGAGCAACAGGTAACTTGTAATTAAGAATCTTTGAGTTAGTATTTGTAAGAAGTAGTCTAACATAGGGGGTAGAAGGACATAGGGGACACAACTTTGTCAGTTAGAGCAGGAATACTCATCTTTTCACTCACTTCTTTCAAAAGCGGAGAGGAAGGTAGAATACTATATCATGTTCTTTCCTGAGCAAGGAACTGATACCATTTAGCGACAAATCGCTATACTGAAAGGTATCTCCTGAGACAATAAAGCAAGCAGTTCCAGTCAGAAAAATGGGGGGCGGGGCGGGGAGGGACTTGAAATCCAGCCTGTGGCATTTTAACTGCAGCTGAGAGAGGTGTGGGCTTGTCTAGTTTACTCATTTGGAGAATTTCGGCTTCTTGATGTTAAAGGTTGTTCCTTACTCAGTGGTGATTAGCCAAAAGATGAGAACAAAAACAATGCGCCCCTATCAATTTCCTCTTTAGTGCTGAGTGCCCTTGGGGGCCAAATGCATTGTTAAGACAAATGGCTCACGTGGAGTTCTGAGAGTTCACAGGCCTGAATAGTTGAAGACCCCGCCTCCCCATTCCTTCCCATCCCAAAAGAATGGAATTAATGCTAACACCTCAAACTGTTCATGCAAAAAGGTCAAGGTTGATTCAAATACTAGCTCTCCTCCACACATGGAACCCAATTCATCAATACAGGTCTACCAGGAAATTGCAAAACAGGAGGCTAAATTTCCTGCAGTGTCTTACCTGATTCTTAGATTTTTTTTTAATTGTTGGTTTTAATAGTTTGCCTGTGTTTCTTCTATAACCTGGGTCACCACGGTTGCTGATTCAACTCCAGTAAGGAGGAGAAGAAAGAAACAGGGGCCTCGCTTAGAACCCAGGAGGCATTCTCCCCTCTTACTGAAGGCTGGCCAGACTCTCGCTGATCATGAGCTCAGTTTAGGAGCCGCAGTGCAAGGGCCTCCCGCTCTAGCCTAGACCACAGAGATCAATGGCTTACAGCTGCGCGCCAGGGCGCCTGACTATCTCCCGATTGAGGGCTGGGTGTAGTGAATCAGAAGTTAAGGAACCTCGAGTTGTCAGCACCACGGGGTGCCCGCGCAACCAGCGCCCCACCCCCACCCCCCAGAGACCTCTGCCTCAGCTCTTCCTGAGAGATGGGGGGCTGGACAAGGGGCTGCCTTTTCATTCTAACGTTTAAGGCTGGTGTGCTCTGACTTGCAGAGCCATGGGGTCTATGGAGAAAGGTGCAACTAATAAGTGTTGAAGAAAAAACCCACCTGGCCCAGGCCACCCCGTTGCTGACTTCGCCACTTTGGGAATTTCTACCTAAGCAAAGCATCCAGACCTAACATGAGCTCACCCTAAAACCCCGAGGGCGGTCAAGGACAAGGCCAAAGTGTGCAAACCCAAGTCGTGCGCTGCTGTTTCAGAATGGGTTAGTATGAGAGCCGTCTAGCTAGGCCTGTTTTGGTGACTGACTCCGCCAGTAGAGGAGAAAGCCGGACTTCACCACCAATGTCCCAGGCCTGCTGAAACGAACGCCCCACGGGGCTGGCGCCGCAGGGTCCCTCCGGGCGCCGGGCGCGTCCCAGGCTGCCCACCCGCCCCGGGTCCCCGCGCCCGCCGCGCTCACCCAGCCGCCGTTCGCCATCAGCCAAGCGCGGTGCCGTCGGAGAGCTGAGCACACAGCAAGGCCACCAGGAACCGGCAGTCTCTGCTAACGTCTTCATTCTCCGTCTTCTTCCGCCTACGGGCCCCCAGCGGCGGCCTCTCCAGCAGCGTCCCCGCGAAGGTCACGAGCGCTGCAACGCGGCCCCAGCTGGGGCCGCCACGGTTGTTAGCGAGTAGCTCCTGCGCCATCCAACCCAGCAGCTCGACGCGGTTCCCGCGGAAGCCGCGGTACTGCGACAAGAAGGGCAGGTTGGTGTTCTGTTTCCAGGCGGCCACGGGCGCAGCACGGGGGTGCTGGGCTCGCGGGCGCAGTACTCCAGGTAGTCCATCAGCAGCCTGGCTGTGCACTCCCTGAACGCGTCCCCCATAACTCCGCCTCTGCCGGGGCCTGACCCGGCCTGTTTTCTAGGCTCGCCCGCGCCACGCCCCTCCCCGCTCCGCTTTGGCTCGGCTCCGCCCGGTCCGCCCCGGGCAGTTGCTTTCCCAGGTCCGGAGAGGAGCCTTTGATGGGAATCCCATCTACACCTGTTCCGGCCCCAATAGGCCAGGCCCAGCTGTGTGCATGTGTTCACATAGCAATCAGGGGCACAATGAGACTCTTCTGGGGTGATTGTTTAGCTCTGGGCTTGGGGACTAAGAACCCAGTGGGGGCAGTCTGGGAAGTTGGGCTAGACTTTTGCCTCCTTTTTAGGAGAGGTTGACGAAGGCTACACACAGCCTTTCACTGGCGGCTCCCTTGTAAGGATTATCAGCATCTTCTCAGATTGGACTGAAGCATCCAGGTGGGTGTGGGAGGTACCGTTCTTTGGGTCTGGTATATGTAGCAGGAAACAGGATGATTCTCCTGCAGGTTGCTAGAGTGCCAATATTGGCTGCATTCACTTATTCATTCACTCATTTACTCCTAGTCTTTGGGGTGGTAGGTCTCCCCCTTAGCACTGGAGATATAATGGAGAACAAGGCATGTGGTTCCTGCTCTCAAGGACCCTAGAGTCTAGTGATGGGACAAAGAAACAGGCAATCACAGTACAGTTAAATTATCACTATAATAGAGGTTGAGGGAGTACTCAGCTTTTGGCTGCTTCTTAAAGCTACCATCCCTATATTGCTTAGAATTCTCCACTTTTTACTGGCCAATCCCTCATTACTCCAATTCCCTATTATAGTTAATACTTGTTATACTAATCTTTCTCTGTTCATGTTACTCTATGGCTTCTTTCTCCTGATTGGACACAGACTGACATAGAATTGTACCAGCAGTGAAAATTTGTGAGGGTTCATTGGTCTGGAACATTTTGAAATATCCCCATCACGGTGGAAGATGAATTGCTGCAACTTGTATCACTGACAAAAAGAAAGAGGCACAACCCCTGGTAGGTCACTTTGGAGGCAACATACACATTTGAGTATGCAACCTCAACCCATCTACAGGCGGGTGGATTGGGAAGCAGAACAAGAGAAGGCTCTACAGCTGTCTAGGCTACAGTACAAGCTACTCTATCACTTGGGCTTTATGATCCAGCAGGTCCAATGATACTTGAAGTGTCAAATAGAGAAGCTGTATGGAGTCTCTGGCAAGCACCGATACAGTTATGGTGCAGACCTCTAGGATTGTGAAGCAAATCTACGTCCTCTTCTGCAGATGACTATCCTTTTGAGAAGCAGGTTCTGGCTTGCTACTAGGTCTTCGTAGAGGCTGAATGAGGTGACCATGCAGCTTGAGTTCTCCTCATCATATGGACGTTGTCTGACGTGCCTTAAGGTTGGGTGTGCACAGCAGCAATCTTTCATCAAGTGGAAATGGTATATGAGAGACTGAACTCAGGGGGGTCCATGAGGTACAAGTAAATTGTGAGTAGGCGGCTCAGACCCCTGCAACACAGCTCCTGTTGTTTGCCTCTTCTCTTGTTCCATGCCTATGACCTTCAGGGGATTGCTTATGACCAGCTGACTGAGGGAGAAAACTCAAGCCTGGATTATAGATGGGTCTGTATGATATGCTGGTACTACATGAAAGTGGACAGCTGGAGCATTATAGCCCCACTCATGGGGGACTGTGAAGACAATGGTGAAGGAAAATCCTCCCAGTGGGCAGAAATTCAAACAGGATATATGACTGTACACTATGTCTGGGGGGAGAGATGGCCAGAGTACAGATCTACAGTGATTCATGGGCAGCTGCTGATGGTTTGGCTGGATGGTCAGGGCCTTGAAGATTGGTGACAAGGAAATCTTGGACAGAGATATGTGGCTGGACCCCTCTGAAGAGGCAGAATGAAGATACTCGTCTCCCATGTCAATGCCTCCAAAGGGCAGCCACTGCAGAGAAGACTCTTAATAATCAGGTAGACAAACTCCTGTGCTCTGTGGAGGTCGCAGAGCTTCCTTACACAGCTGCCACAGTGCTTGCTCCATGGGACCGTGAATGAAGAGGCCATGCAGCAGGGAGCGAGGATGTGGCAACAACAGAACTCCCCTTACAAAGGCTGAGCTGGCTAATGCTACTGCTGAGTGCCTGATCTGCCAGTGCCAGTGATTCCTCTATGGTGAGCCAAATGAATTTTGCCCGAAGGGAATATAAATCTCTGTACGTCAAGCTGAGCTGGTTGTGACATCTTATGAATTCCCTTATTAATTAACTATTAAGTTAAATAAACATTTTGATACATGTTCATGTTTTATTTTCAAGGGAGTCATGATTTTATCTTTTTGATCATTATATTTTAGCAGCAAGCACACAGTTTTTTCTTAGATTTGGAGTAGCTTGGGGGTTAGTGGTAGATCCTCTGGCCCCGCCATTGGTTAACTCTAATAGTTATCAGTGCAATCAAACAACAAATGAATAAATTAACCTCCACACAGAATTTCCTATGCAGTTTGCAGTCAGATTTGGTTACAATCCCCCCTCTGCCACTCAGAAGCTGGGCGACCATGAGCAAGTTATTCAGCCCTCCCAACATCAATTTCCCCACCTATGAAATGGAGGCAATAAACTGCATTATAGGCTGTTACAAGGATTACATGAGTTGGTATGTGCAAAGGCCTTAGCATAGTACCTGGCACATAGTAAAAGCTCTTTACAGAGGAGCTTGTATTATTAGTATGAGTTGACCAAGGTTACCAGGCTCGCTTGTCCCACTTTTTTTTTTTTTTTTTTTTTTTTTGCGGTACGTGGGCCTCTTACTGTTGTGGCCTCTCCTGTTGTGGAGCACAGGCTCCGGACACGCAGGCTCAGCGGCCATGGCTCACGGGCCCAGCCGCTCCCTGACATGTGGGATCTTCCCGGACCGGGGCACAAACCCGAGTCCCCTGCATCGGCAGGCGGACTCTCAACAACTGCACCACCAGGGAAGCCCGCTTGTCCCACTTTTAACCAAAAAATCAAGATGTGACATTTTTGGTGAGCCTTACTTATATGGTTTCTGTTTTTTTGTTTTTAAAATACTGAAAAGATCTAGATTTTCAGTGATTCACAGCCCCCATTGGTCTCTTGCCTTTCCCACTGCCTCTCTGTGCCCGCAGGGCCCCTCCTGTGCCGCATGTGGTTGCCCCAGAGCCTTCGCTTGAGCCCCCCTCTCTCAATTACCTTCCTCCTCCACTTCCAAACCCCTACAAGGGCCTGAATGGCTCCAGGGAGGTCTCACAGGGAGGGGCTGGAAAAGGGCTCATTAGCCCAGATAAGCTGCTTTCAAAGTTGATCTGACACCGGGAGTCCTTCCAGGGGATCCTCCAAGGTCAAAACTATTTTCATAATAATACTGACTCTTTTTTCTGTATGTGTGGCTTTTAAAACACTCACTTTCTCAGGAGTTTTCCAGAGGCTACTGATGTGTGGTAAAGGCATCATCACTGGAATATGTGCTTCTGTATTCTTGTGTTTTATTTTTCTCAGTTTGAATTTCTAATATGATAAATATTGATAGGTATAATCCATATAAACAAAAAGCTCTTTGGGGTCCTCAATAATTTTTAAGTGTAGAGGGATCCTAAGATGGAAAACTTTGAGAACCACTGGCCCGGATGAATCTCTAACTGATGATAATTACCAATTTGATACATGAGTAGGGATCCCTTATGTGGGGTGGGGGGAGAGGAGAGAAAAGAATGAACAAGAGGAAGGGGAATATAGGGAGGAGGGGGAGAAGAGGGGGAGAGGTGGGAGGAGGAAGGGGATAAGGAAAGAGGTGAGACAAGAAGATGGGTTTCCCTGGTGGCGCAGTGGTTGAGAGTCCGCCTGCCGATGCAGGGGACACGGGTTCGTGCCCCAGTCCGGGAAGATCCCACATGCCGCGGGGCGGCTGGGCCCGTGAGCCATGGCCACTGAGCCTGCGCGTCCGGAGCCTGTGCTCCGCAACGGGAGAGGCCACAACAGTGAGAGGCCTGCGTACCGCAAAAAAAAAAAAAAAGAAGAAGAAGAGAGAGGAGGGAGGAGATGGGGCAAGGGATGGGGGAGAAGGAGGGAGAAGGGAAAGGAGTTGGAAGGGAACAGGAAAGGGAGGAGGGGAAGGTACTTTACATACCTTGGAACTGTCCCATTTCCTAGATGAGGGAGCTAAGGCTGAGACAAATTTAGACATTGTATATCCTGTAAAAGTGGTAGAGCTGGGTCTGAAACTAGTGCACATCCTTTGTCCCCAGGCTATCCCCCTATGAGTCCTAGTGTCAGCAGAACCACCTTCTAGCCAGATGGCCAAGCAACTATGAGAGGCAAGGATGCTAAGGCCCTTACAACCTGTACTGCCTTTAAGCCACTTATAATCCTGGGAAGGGTAGAGAGGAGGTCCAGGGTGGGAAGAGGGAAGTGGATAAGGGGTGCCTGCTCTGGCCTTGGGCTCATTCCAGAACAGGACCAGCAGCAGGGCCCTACTTCTGGGAGGCCAGCCGCCCATTCCCTCCAAAGCAGCTGCCTTGGTTTCAGTTCACAGGTATTTCCCACAAACACCTGTCATCACATACCTCCTTGTTTGACCCCCCTGTCTGCCTAACCTTTCTTTTCTCTGGCTGGAAAGGGGGTGTCGAAGGCTATGCACACCTCGGGGCACATCTATTTGGCCCCTTCACCACAATGGTTTGATAGCTTTGCCTCCAAGTTCTCTAAAAAAAAGAAAACCTGATTAAAAAACTCCACTCAGCATTATTTTGAATATGCAAAATATAATTTATTACCAGGGGTTTATCCTTCAGTCTCCATGTGGTGTAGTATATTTCCAACCAAGTATTTCATCAATAAATAAACAACAGGCACTATGAGATTAAATACTTATAGAGGAGGTGGCTAACTGCCCATGGGGGTTAGTGTTTGAGGGAATACTTTCTTAGGGCCTTGAAGGTCACTTTTTTAAAAATTATTTTTTATTTATTTTTTTAAACATCTTTATGGGAGTATAATTGCTTTACAATGGTGTGTTAGTTTCTGCTGTATAACAAAGTGAATCAGCTATACGTATACATATATCCCCATATCCCCTCCCTCTTGCGTCTCTTCCCCACCCCTCTAGGTGGTCACAAAGCTCCGAGCTGATCTCCCTGTGCTATGCGGCTGCTTCCCACTAGCTATCTGTTTTACATTTGGTAGCGTATATAAGTCCATGCCACTCTCTCACTTCGTCCCCTCCTCCTCCCCACGTCCTCAAGTCCATTCTCTACATCTGCATCTTTATTCCTGTCCTGCCCCTAGGTTCTTCAGAACCATTTTTTTTTAAGATGCCATATGTAATGTGTTAGCATACGGTATTTGTTTTTCTCTTTCTGACTTACTTCACCCTGTATGACAGTCTCTAGTTCCATCCACCTCACTACAAATAACTCAATTTCGTTTCTTTTTATGGCTGAAATGTGGTCACTTTTGTGGTCACATTGTGGTCACTTTTTTGATTGGAAAGTTAGGGGCTATTTTGCACATATACTGAAGATGCTCCCCCACCTCTCCAAACATATAACCTTGAATTTGCTTCCCCAGAGTCTGGGTGACTTTTCCTTTGCCCTGCCTTCCTTCACTTCTGGGAGGCCCAGGTCAGAGTGCAGAGACAGAAAAAGGTCTGTGGGAGAGAGGGAAGGGGATGCCATAACTAGGAGCCCAGGAACAAGCTCAGGAACATTCTGGGAGCAGAGCTTGAGAATTTCACAGGACACATTGTGGGGCCAGCCCTTCAGCAGTTGGCAGGAGCTGGGCAGACCCTGTGCCCATTTCCCTGAGCCCCTGTTCAGACTGGAATCTACTAGAGGGAGAAGGTGGCTGAAAAGTTGTCCCTCTGGACCATGCTCCCTCCCCCCCTTCCCTCTGGGCTCTCAAGGTGGGTAGGGTGGGGTGGAGGTCTGGGGGATGCGGGAGGAGGGGGGGTGAGGGGGTAGGGGGGTGAGCAGGAGCCTTGCATATTTTCTCTCTCTACTCCAGGGCCTGTTGTGTAGTAAAACCCTTGGTAAATGTTTTCTTGGCAAATGATTGCATATAATTGTTATGTTTATTTTATAAGAGTTGATTGAAAAGCTGGCTTGGGTAATTTTGGACTGACTGGGCCCATCTTGATACCTGAACAAGTTGTTTTGCAGGTGGGCCTGGCACGCCCCCTGAGGTTTACAGGGGCACTGGGTCCAGGCCTGTCGGATGGCTCCAGCCCTGGAAGGGCAACTTCAAGCCGCAGAGCCTGCGGCTGGGCCTGCAAAGCCAGAACTACCATTAGGAAAAGGGCCAGGCTGGAGCAGGGCCAAGAGAGGGGACCGAGAATCCAGGGGACTCAGCACACACAGCCCTCGGGCACCACGAGAACCTGGCCTGCCAGACCCCAGACCACCCACAGGGCAAGCCTCACCCAGGAACCATTTTTGGTCTGAGATGACCTTTTATTTCCCTAAGTGATGCATGCCATCTTTATGAATGAGGAGTTTTCTAAAACAAAGAATAAGCCTCTACACCTTCAAACAAAACAGAACAGAAAATAAGGGATCCTGTAACTAAAGCACTTGGTACCTTCCGGAAGGAACTGCTGAATTTCACATAAAGACAAGATATATTTTATGTTATTTTTCCTCAATATAAGTGAAACAAAGACATTATCATTCGAGACCTATCAATTAATTTGTATATGTAACTGCACTTGCAATGCAATAAAGATGAGTATAACTGATATGAACAAGATTCATTTTAGCCTGAGTAGATGCTACTAATCCTAATACGTCTAACACTACAAACAGGTTTTTTTTTTTTTTTTTTGCGGTACGCGGGCCTCTCACCCTTGTGGCCTCTCCCTTTCTTCTATCAAAGACCAATTAACACTATCCTTCTCACACAGTCCATTAAAGTCAGCCCTTGCAGGGGAAAGTTCCAAAAGTCACAGTGTACACTGAGAAAAATCAGCTTTTAAAGTGCTCCGAAAAATAAATTTGATTCAAGGAAACAATATGGAATATATTATATGCTGAACTGTACTGGGGACAGAATGAGTTGAGATGATAGTTTAGAATAACCTTAAAAACAGATACATTTTAAAAAGTGTTTGAAATGAAAAACACTGTACTTGAAGGTGTTCTCATAGTGCTAAAGGCTCACACTGGGGTCTTTCCAGGGTAGTGGTTTTAACAGTAATATTGGAGATGCTTGCTGAACTTTCAGTCATGGAGCTGCTCCCTTAAGCTAAGTTGCAATAAACTCTCAGATCCTCTAGAAGCAAGATCTATTTACATGTGACGATTTCAAATTCTATTCTCAGGTACCTATATGTGAATTATGATTAAGCCCAGACCTGCAAAGACACAAATAGATAATTTTTAGTCGTTTTCAGTTAATGACTTGTAAAACCTGAGTTTAAAGAGATAAAATCAAAGTCTACTATACACAAACATACACACGACATCCAAAATAGAGCATTCACATGTCTTAGAAAGATAACACTTTACTCCTAGCAACTCAAAGGTGCTTCTTTGGCCCTGGCTCCCCCTCTCCCTTAGTTAATCATCTGAAGGGCATCTGTGGCCTTCTTGCTAGGGAAGGTAACTCTTAAATTGAAAACCAGAACCCTCTGTACCCATTCAGCTCACTGGGTACACTGACATGTTTATTAATTTAGCAAACTCTTGCCCAGGATGATGAAGTCACAGCTAACTTTACTGTTTGTTTCAGGAACTTTGCAAAAATCCTTTTATCTATTTACCCTAAGACTAGACTACTCAATTACCCTCTTTAGAAAAGACACACACTTCTCACCACAGTACACAGCATCAAATGACCGCCTACTTTTCAAGATGGTCTTCGAAATTCTCTCCCTCCCTCAACCCTGTGTCCAACGATCTTAAACTATGCCACAAATTTGTCCAATCCTAATTAAGTCCCTGCATCAAAAGACTTGCCTTCAACCAGACTCCCCAAACCTCATAAATACCTGCCTTTGCTCTCCCCCTTCTGAAATGCTAATAAGACTGTCAAGTTTGTGATCTTCCACAGTGAGGTAAGCTGTGCTTGATGAACAGGTTATTTTGGTGGCATTTCTAGGGAGCCAACATCTGACAAAGTCATGGAGCTCTTTGAGAATCTAATAAAAGCCATGAGGACACTTTTCCTGGAAAAGCGCGCACGCGTGCACGCGCACACACACACAATTTAGCATATAATTGCAGGGGCTTCATAGGTCTCCTGAAGCCCCTGTGTGGGCTTCAAAAGGGTCTGTGACCAAAGATTAAGAACCCAGCACTACTGGGAGGTGAGACTGGCAATCTGACTTGTCAAAGGCTGGAATCAGACTTTTAGGGTATCTATGCTTGAACAGCTGCATTGATGGGGAACTCACTACCTCCTCAGGCAAGTCATTTCTCTGTGGTTATAGAATTGAAAGTAAAGCTCTATTTTGGCTGCCCAGGCCCACCCTAGCTTACTCTGACCTCTCTGCTTTCACGAAGGCCAATCACTCCTGCTCTCACACACAGAGGAAAGCAGAAAAACTTCTCTCTTACTCTGAGGGTATGATCCCATGATCCTGAGCAAAAGGCAGTCCCATCAGGGGAAACTCGTAGAGTACTAACACGGTTTTCATGTCCAAACAAGATGGAGACTCGGGATCCCTTGAGGACATCCCAGACGTTGATGGTATAATCGTTGTATCCAGCAAACAGCAGGCGACCTTAAAGCAGGAGGATATGATGGTTACGAAACCAGTTCCTTCCTCCTTGTTTTTCTTTTCATGACTCTCACTCATGCACTCGCTCATTCATTCATTTAATAAACAGTGATTTAGTGCCCATGGTGCCGGGCACTGTGCTTTGCCCTGGGGATTCAAAGAGGAGAAAGCACAGTTGCTGGCCCCTGTGGAGGGTGGGGGTGGGCAGGCTGACTCATAAATCATTGCAGCACCCTGTGGTAAGGGCTGTCATGGAAGCGCTCAGCTATGTGTGAAGTGTTATGTGATCACAGAGGAAGGGGGATCAAGAAGGGCACTACAGGGGACTTCCCTGGTGGCGCAGTGGTTAAGAATCCGCCTGCCAATGCAGGGGACACAGGCTCGAGCCCTGGTCCGGGAAGATCCCACATGCCGCGGAGCAACTAAGCCCATGCACCACAACTACTGAGCCTGCGCTCTAGAGCCTGCAAGCCATGACTACTGAGCCTGTGTGCCACAACTACTGAAGCCCGGCGCACCTAGAGCCCGTGCTCCACAACAAGAGAAGCCACCGCAATGAGAAGCCTGTGCACCGCAATGAAGAGCAGCCCCTGCTCGATGCAACTAGAGAAAGCCCACGCACAGCAACAAAGATCCAACGCAACCCAAAATTAATTAATTAATTAAAATTAAATTAAAATTTTTTTTAAAAAGGGCACTACAGGGAAAGCAACATTTGAGCTGGCCTTTGAGGGATGAATAGGAGTTTGCGATGCAGAGAAAGAAGGGAAAAGACGTTCCAGTAGCAGCATGCATGCACAAAGGCACAGCTACACAACCGGGGGGGTGTCTGGGAAAACTGAATGGTCCAGTGACCCAGCATACAAGTGCTGCCTTAACTTTCACAGGCAGCCTCCCCAGCTGTGAGGGCAGAGGTGCCATGAGCTTCAGGGCATTAAGAAAGGGACTCTTGCTTCACTCCTCTGCCCCCCACCTCTGAAAAACAACGTCCCTTTTCAGGTGTGAAAGGAAAATGGAAGGCTGGAGAGGAAATGCCTAAAGGCGCAGATGCAGTTTTGATACATCATTGTTTTGAAGAAGAGCATTAGGTGGGCCCAGCCTTCATTTCCCGTGGAGTGAACTGGGCTGGGGAAGCTGCTTCAGGCAGGGCAAAGCGGCCTGTCAAAAATGCAGCAGAGGAAAACTGGTGCAAAAGTAGACTCTTTAGCACATGGACCCATAGGAAGTTTAGCTAGGAGGGGAAGCTTGGCAGAGCTGGGTTTCATTGAAGTCCTGTTTTACAGTCCCAGGAAAGTTTCTGAAATAAAATCTTACCACTGAGGGAGAAGTCCACGCTGGAAGCTCCAAAGATGATACTCTCTTTGGAATAGATGGCAACCTCCCTGTCTGCCCGGAGGTCGTAGAGGCGACACTGGGGTGACAAAGAAGACAAAGAGGCACTTGTTTCTGGATCCTGTTTGGTGCACTGATGGCCACAGAGCTACAGGCAGGTGCCAGTGGCTTGTGTAGTTTGAGGGATAAGGGAAAAACCTCTTTCGTTTTCTCTCCTAGTATTTTCTCCCTCAATCCCGATTCCTATCGATCTCCAGGGATTACTGGAGATTCAAAGAAACAGCAAATACAGATTTCTTTAGGTACAAAAACAAAAATGAAAGCGCTCTTTTTTTTTCTGACGAAGAATATGTGTTCACTGCAGAAAATTCAGGAAAACTCAGAAATGCATAGAGAAGGACATAAAAGTCACCCCCAATCCTAGAGGTGTTTACTAACATCTGGCCTATTTCCTTCAGTCTTAATCTATTTTATGTGTGGATTTAAATGGGGAAGATGTTTCACTATTGCTTCTCATGAAAGCATTTTCTCATATCATAAAATAATCTTAAAAAAAAAAAACAGGAGTAATATGGTTGTTATATTCCTCGTGTGGATATATCAGAATCTACTTAGCTATACCCTGCTAAGTGTTTGATTACGTCTGATTTTTCTCTTTTACAAATAAAATTATGGGGAAGCCATGATCCTTCTTCTATAAAAATCTTTATATGCATCTCTGATATTTTCCTTAGAATAGCTTAAAAATAGAAGCCTTAGAATAGAATTGTTCCCAAGAAATAGCATGGCTGGATCAAAGGGTAGGGAAGTTTTGAAAGCTCTTGAATTTTCCCACATGTATGCCCTTAAATTTTGTTAAATATTTTTTGAAATACAGAAGTTTTAAATTTTCATTATTATCAAACCCTCAATCTATTCCCCTGTAATTTCTTCCATGATGGCAAATTAGAGTGCAGTTCATTATTTAATAAGATATTTGCTATTTTGAGGACACAGGAGGATATTTTTTTTCTCCTGCAATATAGGTCAACATAATTTGACAATTAGTATCAAAAGCCTTAAAACTAGGCTGATTTTTAACTCAAAAAGTTCATGTCAGAGAATTAATTCTAAGGAAATGGTAAGAGAGGCACCAAAAATGTTTGCTTATAGCAGTGTTTTTAACAGGAAAAAAAACCTTGGAAAACACCTAATGACCCAAAACTTGAAGACTGGTTAAGTAAATGATGGCATATCCATAACATGGAAAACTATTCAATCATTAAAAAAATATAATGTGGGAGAAAAATATGTATTGGCATGTGAAAATGTTCACAATCTATTGCTAAGTGAAAAAAGCAAATTAAAAAGCATTTTGTTTAAAAACTAAAAAGACAGAAAGGAATTCACCGAACTGTGATTTTTCTTGGGTATAATGATTAACATAATTTAGTGTTTTCCCCCAGGTTTTCTTTATTGAAGTCACATCAGTTCTGTAATCAGGAAAAAAGTTATTTTTGAAAACTAAAATTAGGTCAGCATATCTCTCCTTTGGATAGGAAAAGCTCTCAACAACTTAGAAACGTACTGTAGCATCATCTGATCCCGAAGCAAAGGCATCTCCGCTCGGGTAGTATCTGCAGAGAGAAAGTGTGGGGAGAAAGCACTTAGAGTGGTGATTCCCAGTCCTCGGTGCCCATCAGAACCATCGCGGGAAGGCTGTCCCATGCCGGTCCCCCAGACTTCTAGGGATACACAGACCACTCATTACAGAGGCCAGAAAGGGAGGCTCATCTGGAAGGTCCCACTGACCTAATTTTCTTCTCTGTAAACAGGGGACAGTGACACTGGCCTTGCAGAGTATTGGCGGGGAGTAAATGAGATAATATGTATATCTGTACCAGACACCGAACACAGGCAGATCCCCTGTATCCTTGCTTCCCCTTGATCATATACCCCATTCCCAAGACTTGGCCAGAGCTAAGGGATAAGACAGTGGTTATAAACACAGACACTGCAATCAGATATACAGAGCCACGGGAAGCTGTCTGCACTGACCACTCACTACATGGGATACTTCTGGCAAGTGCCTTCACCTGGCCCAGCCTCAATTTCTTCATCTGAAAAGTGAGGAGGATAATGCACATTTCCTGCTATAAAGACTGAATAAGACAGCATATATATTATACAAAGAACGTGGCATGGTGCCAAATAAAATGCATGCAATAACTAATGATTATTACTGTTATAGTCATCCTCTCCTCTAATCAAGCCTTCAGGGACTTCCCTGGTGGTCCAGTGGGTAAGACTCCACGCTCCCAGTGCAGGGGGCCCGGGTTCGATCTCTGGTCGGGGAACTAGATCCCGTGTGCATGCCGCACGCCGCAACGAAGATCCCGCGTGCTGCAACTAAGACCTGGCACAGCTAAAATAAATAAATATCTAAAAATAAAAATAATCAGGCCTTCTGGAGAGAGGGCAGCCTAAGTAGAGACCTGGTGGATATTAGAAGAAGAGGGTTCTGGGTAGAGGGAACAGCACGGGTGAGAGAATGTGCATGTTTAAGCTGTTATTTCATGAATATATAGGGATTTAATTTAGTTTTGTGGCATTATATTCCATCCTGTATCTTAAAAACCTCATTTACTGGGCTTCCTTGGTGGCGCAGTGGTTGAGAGTCCGCCTGCCGATGCAGGGGACATGGGTTCGTGCCCTGGTCCGGGAAGATCCCACATGCCGCGGAGCGGCTGGGCCGTGAGCCATGGCCGCTGAGCCTGCACGTCCGGAGCCTGTGCTCTGCAATGGGAGAGGCCACAATGGTGGGGGGCCCGCGTACCGCAAAAAAAAAAAACAAAAAAACCCTCATTTACTATCTGTAGTAATTTCTCAATTGATTTCCTTAGATTTTCTGGGTAATTACTGCACATTTGCAAAAAAGTGATAGCTTTTTTCCCCCTGTTTTCCTTTCCTACATTTGAGGTCAAAGAGCTAGAAAATTCTCATTAATATTTCTACCACTAAGGTAATTAAGTATTCTTATTGTGTTCTGGCTTTTTAAAAATTATTATTATTATTATTTTATTTATTTATTTTTGGCTGTGTTGGGTCTTCACTGCTGCATGTGGACTTTTCTCTGGTTGCAGTGTGCGGGCTTCTCATTGCTGTGGCTTCTCTTGTTGCAGAGCACGGGCTCTATGCGTGCAGGCTTCAGTAGTTGTGGCACATGGGCTCAGTAGTTGTGGCGCACGGGATTAGTTGCTCTGCGGCCTGTGGGCTCAAACCCGCGTCCCCTGAATTGGCTGGCGGATTCTTAACCACTGCACCACCAGGGAAGCCCTATGTTCTGGCTTTTAAGGGGAATAAGTCTAGTACTTTCCTCTAAGTATAAATATTCTTGAGTGATTATACTTTAAATGCTGTCCTGACAGTGCCAGCTTCTAAATATATATGTCAAGTCCTGACCTCTCTCTTGGAATCCGGTTCACAGCTCCTGCTACCTACTTGACATTCCCACTTGGTCGTATAACAGCATCTCAGACTTAGCTAGCCCAAGACAGAGCTCCAGAATCCATGTGCAACCACTGCCTTCTCCCTGCACTGCCTCCAACCCTCCCTGTCTTAGCAAATGGATCAATGCTTACTGCCCCTTATAAAAGATTCAGGTTCCCTGAGCTCAGGGTTCTTCTCCTATAATGCAGTCCTTTGCATGGGCAGGTGTCATCTGGCCCTTTTCATGTGACCCTGTAGAATTGGGGCTTAGGTAACCAGCACAAAAATGCTAATACCCCAGCTACTGCCATCACTATGAGTAACCAACTATCCTTCATCTCTAACCCAGGAGTCTCATGCCTTCTAGCAGCATCCATGAATCTGTGGCAGCCTTACTTCATAGCTTGCAGCTAGGGTAAAATCTCAAATCCTCCCCAATTCTAGACATTTCTATCCTCCCTGTGTGTCTTCTTTAGTTTCAGCCACCATCATTTCATTCTAAAACTCACACAACAACCTTCTAACTGGTCGTCATACTTCCATTCTTGCTCCCCTACAATCCATTCTCCATACAGCACCCAGAGTGATCTTTTAAAGGCAAAACATGGATCACGCTAGCCACCTCCCCAACTCAGGACTCGCTAGTGGTGACCTGGCCTTTTGTTAGGTCCCTGAACATCTCACCTCCCTGATCTTCCCCTCAGCTCTTTGCAAGCCTGGCTCCTTCATTATCCTGGTCTCAATTTAAACATCAATTTATCAGAGAGGCCTGACCATTCAAAGAAATAACCCATCTTATCACAGTTCCCTGTTTTACTTTTTCTTAGCACTTAGCGGTACTTAAATAGCACATTTATCTGTGCTTTGTCTTCTGTAGGACAGTAGAGATGTTGTCTTCTTCAAACCAGTACTCCCTGTTTCTGGAATAATGTCTAGCAGATAAGGACTTCGTAAACATTTGTTGAATGAATGAATGAGAAACACTGACTTGACCTAGACAGGATAATATCCATTGCCCCTAGTGCAATTACATTAAAATTCTCCAAGAAATCGGGAGTGCTGTTCAGTCCCACCACAAATCAGCCATTATTGCTGGAAAAGCCTCTCTCAGCCAAGTAAATTGAGCCTAGAGGCTAAGTACTAGCCCAGGCCGGGGAACACTGGAGGACAGAGGAGCAACGTGAACATTCTACTCACTGACCGGACACTGTTGATGTCAGATTCGTGTGTTTCAAAGGCCTGCACGCACTGTCCAGAGCGCATGTCCCACACCATGGCTTTCTTGTCACATCCCTACAAACAGAAAGTTACCCAGAGTTATGTACAATGCAAGGAATGTCTACAGACAGGCATGAGTTCCGGTTATGTCACAGAGACCTTTTAGTTCCCATTAGTAAATGGCTGACAATATGCTTTTCTGGCACTAGCTTTACCTAAGGCCACTTTCCTCAACTGATAAGCCCTCACGCGGCCAGAGTGAGGTCTCGGGGTCAGGGTGACGAGCAAGGGAAGGCACCCAGCCCCCTTTTAAGCATGTTTTCTTCTCTCCCACCTTTCTGAGGGGCTGCAAACTCTCCAGAGCCTCCTTCTCCCCTTCCTCCTGGGCATCTCTCTTCACTTTTCCCTCTCTTTCCCCCTCCTCTTTATCTCTGCCTCTATAAGGCCAGAGGAGAGGAGGGCAGGTGGACAGTGGGTGTGGTGGGACCTCCCAGCTTTGCCTCAGGTGTGTGGGGCAGCCTGAGCACAGGTGGAGAGCCAGGTGCCCCTGGGCCAACTGCACCCCAGCAGCCTAGTCAGGGTGTTGTCCGCAGTCAGCTGGGTGGCTCTGCCAAGTCACCTCCGTGGACTTCTGCCTCAACACCTGTAAAGTGAACCTTCTCTGGGTTGCTACCATGACCCAGAGAATCATGAACACTAAGGTTTTCACATACTCTCTTGCTTCCGGGAGCATTCTGATAAATTCCTGCAGAGCTTTCTGTGATCAAGCGTGAGCAGTATAATTAGACTCTCAAAGGTCAAATAGAAGGAGTCATGGGTTAAAATTAGTGTCCAAGTTGTTGGTTTCAACTCAGAGGAAAGGGTGGATGAGGTGCCATGACTGATGTCTCAGAAAGACCTGCTGTGGGAGTTCAGCACTCCAAGCATCTTTACTGAGAATGTGGACAAAGGAATCAGTGAGTCTCTTCAAATCGTTACAGGACCCTAAATCAGATGGAGTTTAATACTCTGAAAGAGACAATACAATCCACAATGATATCAACAATTTGAAAAAACAGTGTAGTTGAGTAGGGATAAATACAGTTATACAAGGACACGAGAATGAAATGTACACAGATAGGGCCAAATACCCAAGAAGAAAATCAGGGTCCCTGCCAACTCGAGGCCTCACAGCCCTCACCTGAGGCCCAGGACTAAGATGTGGGCAGCTCGGAGCAAACATCATTAGACAGCGTTTGCATCTCTGTCCTCTCTCCTCACTTGTCTCCTGAGCGAGATGAGACAGGACCCACGGGTCAGGCCAGCCACCTCAGTTCTCCATTCTTATCCCCAGGTGTCCATAGAAATACGTGCCTCTCTGCATAACACGCTGTAAACTCTTCCCTCTACTGCTCACAATATCCTGGGGAAGGTGGGGGGCAAATGCTATCGTGCCTTATGCCCAATTTACAGAGGATGAAATGAAGAGTCAGGTAGCAAACGTGGGTCCCAGGTGTCCTGGCTCATCTGGTGCTCCTCTGCCATGGTGGCCTGCCTGTCCGACTCGTAGCCTTCAGATACGCTGTTCCCTGTGCCTGACAGTGGGAGGGGCTGGCGACTGGCAGGGGTGGGGTGGGAGAGTGTCCCACCAGTGTCAAAGCTCTGATCACACCACAGCGATGCTTTGCCATCACTGCCACCTGAGCCTCCTGGTGCCTAGCGACTGTCTCTAAAGCTCTCAGATGCTAACTCTCTGCCACTTATTTAAGGAATCTCAGCCCCATCCAGGGAAGTGTCCAGTCTAGTCCCACAAATTAACAGGAAGTGCCACCATGAGCCTCCCTAGGACCCCCCAGAGATCTTCCTTGGGTCTTTACCCCAGACACGAAGGTGTTCCCGGTTTCTGAGGGAGCCAGGTCCAAGCAGAGCACGTCGGCCCCGTGCCCATGGAAGCTCTGCAGCAGCTGCCCGCTCTCCACGTCCCACAGGGCACACGTGCCGTCGCCACTCGCTGTCAGGATCTGCCGCAGGAAAGGACAGGAAGGGTGTGGCTGTCATTAATGTCCCTGTCAGGGGAAGCCAAGCAGATGCTTACAGTTCCACAGGGAAGAGGAGGCTCCTTACACACACACACACACACACACACACACACACACACACACACACACACACACACACACACACACACACACACACACACACA